ATAGGGCAATCGAACCATCAGCATCAGATGAACTAAAAGCTGATGAGGAAGTCAGTCAACGTCCAGAGACTGCATTCGAGGGTGAGGACATAAACACGGACCGTCCAACCGACAATGTTGGTGCTCCTACCACTGCCGAGGTCGATCGTAACCAGGATGGAGAGGCGATACAGAACAAAGAAAAAAAAAGGTTATCAAGAAAGTGTTAAAAAGAATTAAAGTGTTGGACACGCGTGTAGCCGCTATGGATAGGAGACTTGAAGGCGTAGAGGGTGAGTTGAAAGCCATACGCAAGTATTTGCGGCTAAGGGTAAGTGTTTCCTTCATTAAGTTTGTATTATGGAATGTTTTCTCTATCAAGGTTGGTAAATATTTCATTTTATGTACATGGTCAACCAGTCGACCCAACCGATATGCGAATAGGCAGAGGAGGTGACGATGCTGGTGGATCAGGAAGTGCTGGCGATGGAGGGCGTACTCATGAGGGGGCAACAGACAGTCATCCCGAAGGCGATGGACATGGGGATGCAGCGGGCGATGGACATGGGAATGCAGTGGGCAATGGTCATGAAGACGCAGTTGTCCAAAATGTCCAGAACGAAGATGTGGACCCGAAGGCAGCAGAGGTCGACACTGTTGCGGTTGACACGGTCAAGGTTGGTAAGGAAAAAATCGTGGAACCTGAGGTAGAATATGTGCTTCAAGGAACGCCTCCTGATCATCCCAATGACGTCCAAAGTATCGGCATTGGTACATCAAAACACATGGGAGATGTTGACATCGACGCCAATCTGTACCAGTCACCGACACAGGTATCTCAATTGCTGCGCACTAACTTATTTTGGTTGGGGTTACTTTGACGATGTTGTAATGATAACATCTTTTCAGGTCAAGATTCTACAGGATTTATCAGATACCGACACTGACCCAGATATCGTATCCCAATCACCAGCGTCCGAGGAAACACAATCACAAGGCCAGACACGTGTGGATGACAGCGACGTACGTGTGTTATCTCAGCCAGTCACGCGTCCACCCCCTCGTCGTGGAGAACGGGAAAAGAAAAAGCCATGGAGACTTGGAGGGTCGTACGAAGTTAAAGTGGGCGGGAAGCGAAAGAGGATCGTGTACAATCCACTCCCAGATCTCCCAGCTGTAGAGGAGGTCAAATTCGAAAAGTGGATTGAAGACTACGAATCAAATCGTTCGTCCCGAAGGACACCATACGCATACAGAAAGAAGCAATGGTTTCGTGATCTACTTAGGCCGAACAACTGGTGCACGAATGAGGTACATAGGCTTTGAGTGGTGGAGTCTAGGAATTACTAATTGTTTTGTGTCTATTACTTTTAATATGACGATGATACTTGCAGGTCGTTGATTCACTAGTCATGTTCGTGCGGAAGAAGCTAGAAGAACATCCTGACTTATGTTCTCGCCAATTCACCACTGGAGACACTGTGTTGTCGGTATGTCCCACGTAATTGTCTGTTTCTCAATTTTTTGTTCTCTATTTCTTATCCATGCCTAACAACATCCATATTAAATGTACAGAACTTTTTCCATCGAACTGATGGTCTATATGAGCTGGTGAAATCAAAGAATGCCACCCCAGCACAAGTGGCGAAGGAGTATGACTGGGATGCGCGGGAGAGTACCGTCATAGCATACATTAACGGAAGTCATTCGGACTACCCGCTCAAGTGGCGTGAGGTGGAGGCTGTCTATTTACCCTCAATGTCAACGGCAACCATTGGGTTATGATATGCATAGACTTCGTTGAAGGTGAGATCGTTGTCTGGGACTCCCTGAGGGCAATTACCTCAGATGCATCATTGGAGGAGCAACTGGAAGTCATGCGCACAGTCATCCCATCGTTATTGCATAAATCTCAGGTCATCGCAGTACGTCCAAACCTACCAATGACACCGTGGCGAATTCGTAGGGTTACGTCGGCACCGCAACAGTTTGGTAGTGGAGACTGCGGCATTTTTTGTGTAAAGTATTTTGAATATGATGTAATAGGGACTTCTTTAGAAACATTGAGGCAAAACAATATGTCATACTTTAGGAGGCAATTTGCCTTCCAGCTATGGTCTAATAAGGCAGTTTGGTGATAATTTGTACAAAATCTTTTGCAACGTAGTATCTATTATCTCTATTTGGTGACAAAGTATACGAACTATTTTTCAATATATTATTCATTTTAATATCTACTTTCATAGCTCATTGAATTTTAGGGCCGGGGTCCAATATAACTCGGCCATGAATTATGGAATCAATACAAATGTGCCAACCTCGGGTTCGACCTCGACCAAGATCGCGCCCGAGAAATTTGACAGAACCTTAAAAATATTCCAACCCCGGGTGTCACCTAGCCCGAAAATGACCAGGAATTTTGACAGAACCTTCCAATGAGCTTACCTAGGGCTTCACCTCGTCCGAGAAAGCACCGAGACTTTTCACAGAACATGGCAGAAGCTGAAAAGAATTATTCTTGACTTAGTCTACTTCTGAACCTACAAAATACATCATTTTAACGCCGGCAAAACCATAATGTAGTAGTATTTACATAGCACACATAGTTCCGACTATAATAAAACCATATCATTCTGTTCGGAGCGGTTGCCTACACGTCTTGCGGTTGTATCCAACGTTTCCACATCGCCCGCATTTGTGTACCTGTCGGACTTCCCCGGCCGATGATATTCTAGTAGTTTGGCGACGTCCAACACGCGGAACAAATTTTGGTGGCTTAATCGTCTTTGGCACGTAGTCATCCGGTAAAATCCAATCTTCCTCATCTCCGAGTGGGTACACGGGTTCGGCGTAACCAAGTATGAGGGTTTCGATTCGGTACCTATCAGAACATAATGAATGCACGCTAATGTTTTAAAAAAAACCGCCCCAGCAATGGCACGAGAGCATGGAATCTCGAAATAGTCAAATTGTTTACACGTGCAGGTCTTGCTATTCAGGTTGACCCTTACCTTGGATGTACCATCATGCACTTCGAATTCGAACCGATCAATTGGCCTGACATGATGATATCGAGCTCGCTCTACCTCTTTTTTAAGAATAATTTCTGCATATTCAGTAAGAACTGTTCCTCGACTAGAGGCAGCCGTCCGCCTCTCATAAAGCCATTGTTGTAGTAGAGCTCGGCAATTTTCAAATAGAGCTGTTATTGGCAAAGCACGAGCATGAACAAGTACCGCATTCATGGACTCAGCAAGATTCGAGGTCATTTGGTTATACCTCATTCCAGGTTGATATGCACGAGCCCACTTGTCGAATCCGATGTCTTCCAAATATTTCTGGACTCCTGGGAATCCGGCTAGTTGGCCCCAATAGTATCGAAACTTTGATATCTTGAACGTCTTTGCTGCTTTAGCAAAAATTATTTGCATTCCCTCATTTCTAAACTTCTCATTCAATTTCATCGCTAAATGATGCATACATGTGACGTGCGCTGCATCAGGAAACACCGTTGCCACGGAGTTCGTGATACTTGATGCCGGTCAGATACAAAAACCAAACCATTTATGTCACCTATACAAATCCTAACCCGGTTGATAAACCAAGTCCATGAATCATCACACTCATTATCGACAACATCGAATGCAAGAGGGTAAATTTGGTTGTTGCCATCTATTGAGGATGCAGTAAGTAGTACTCCTTTGTACTTCCCCTTCAAATGTGCTCCATCAACCACAAGTATAGGTCATATGCAACTTCCAAAACCCCTAATCGAGCATCCTAAGGCCATGAATGCGTACTTGAAGAATGTGTCGTCCTCCAATTTCATGTGGAAAA